TTATAAAGGATTAATAATTTTTGGAACTTTGCTCCTTTAGGTTTCTTTAAATCCTGTCTTTTCTACTTTTAAAAGACTACAGTTTTATAGTTTATCTGGCATGTTCTCATTAGTGGGAGTGATAGTCTCTAGCAAATTTCCACATTCTAACCAGAGGTAAAGTCCTTGGACTAACTTAGAAGACATATTAAAATCACATAACTGAGTGTTTATGAATCAAATAAAATAGATCTTAGTGCTTATAATTACACCCCATTAAAAAAATTAAGTGTTGTCACTTGGCTTTATTACATAAATATTTTAACCAAATACCCTTTAAGTGTTTCTGAAATGTAAACCCATTTTTTAGAGAAAAATGTTTGCTACCATTAAGATAATGAAAAGAATGTGGTAAAGCGCTACAGGCCATGCTCAAAGCAGGAATTCTAGTAAATATTTTGAGCAAAGCCGAAAGTTTTAGAAAAGTTTATACTTTTCCAAGATAATTATGAATTAAAAGACATGTTTTTCTTCAGCTCCTAGTCATTGTCCTCTTGCATTAATATATTTGAAATATGGCTATTTTATTTTTATTTTTCACTTATTTAAATTCAATTAATTAACATATGGTATATCATTAGTTTCAGGTGTAAAGTTCAGTAATTCCTCAGTTGCATATAACACCCAGTGCTCATTACATCCTTTGCCCACTTTAATGCCCATCATCCAGTTACCCCATCCCCCACCGACTAGCAACCCTCAGTTTATTTCCTATAGTTAAGAGTCTCTTAGGGTTTCTCTCCCTCTCTGATTTTATTTTTCTCTTCCTTCCCCTATGATCGTCTGTTTTGTTTCTTAAATTCCACACATGAGTGAAGCCATGTGATAATTGTTTTTCTCTGATTGACTTATTTTGCTCAGCATAATACCTTACAATTCCATCCATGGCAATGCAAATGGTAAGATTTCATCCTTTCTGATGGCTGAGTAGTATTCCATTGTGTGTGCGTCTATATATATACACATCATATCACATCTTTATCCATTCCTCTGTTGATGGACATCTGGGCTGTTTTCATAGTTTGACTGTTGTGGACATTGCTGCTATAACATTGGGGTGCAGTTGCCCCTTTGGATCACTGCATTTGTATCTTTGGGGGAGGTACCTAGTAGTGCAATTGCTGAGTCATAGGGTGCTCTATTTTAATGTCTTGAGGAACCTCCCTGTTGTTTTTCAGAGTGGCTGTACCAGCTTGCATTCCCACCAACAGTGTAAGAGGGTTCCCCTTTCTCTACATCCTTGCCAACATTTGTTGTTTCTTGTCTTATTAATGTTAGCCATTCTGACTAGTGTGAGGTGGTATCTCATTGTGGTTTTGATTTATATTTCCCTGACGCCAAGTGATGTGGATCATTTGTTCATGTGTCTGTTGGTCATTTGTATGTCTTCTTCAGAGAAATGTCTCTTCATGTCTTCTGCCCATTTCTTGACTGGGTTATTTGTTTTTTGGGTGTTGAGTTTGATAAGTTCTATATAGATCTTAGATACTAGCCCTTTATTGGATGTGTCATATCTTCTTCCGTTCCATAGGTTGCCCTTTAGTTTTGTTGACTGTTTCCTTTGCTGTGCAAAAGATTTTTATCTTTTTTCTTTAATTAATTCAAGAAATATTTTATTGACCACTGTCCATGGGCCAAACACAGGACTGGCACTGGGATATAACAGGACAATGTATTTAGCTGTCATGCAGATTAGATAGTGGGGTAGGGAGATAGAAAATCTGAGAATGGATTTCTATTTCTTTTTATTTTTTCATTGAGATTCTCTATATTGACCATTTTCCAACATTCCAAACATAAGGAAAAGTTGAAAAAATTATACAGTAAACAGTCTTCTACCCACCACTTAGCTTCTATAATTAATATCTGACTGCATTTTTTTAATACATAATTCTCCATCTAGCCATCCCTTTATTTTTTTTCCATTTTTT